TAATTAAAAATGAAATTTATATGCTTACCCATTTTTTCACTTTTATCATAACACTTGCAGTTGCTGGGTAACTGTAATGCAATGAGGGGATTAATGCCCAGTTTTCAGTGATGTTCTATTCACTGCAGGTACAGAGTTGACACTCAGCTCTTTGCTAGAGCATCCCTGGGGACCCTCAGTACAGAATTATTAAGTTTCATTACAATTCATTTTTCTAGCCACCGAATCATCTTCTCAGTCTCCTCTTTAAATATATACCAGATGCATTGCATTTGTCATCATGCTAAGCAGACAGGAGTGTTTTGTAACACACATTCTTTGCCAAGTCTGTGGAGAGGTGGTATTTGAAGAAATGGTCAGTGAATCAGCCATTCATATTGCCTCCCTAATAATATGTATGTTTTGTGCATGTATTATGGACCGTCATACATAAACTCAGCAAGGCTAAAGAAAATATTTATAAATAAATATCACTTCTAGTCTCCTGTAGCTCAGCAAGACAATGAGTCTAGTTTAAAACTCAGTGATGATATTAGGAGGATTTCCATTCACATGTCACTTGGCTTTGGGTCAGGCATTCATATATACCAGCAGAAAGCCATTCTTGTCATCTTTGTCCATGCATCTGCCCATGGGCTAAGCTGTCATCAGCAGTTCACGTGACCCACTCATGAGACATAGATGAGAGTAGTCCTCTGACCAGGAGAAAGAGAATGGAAACAGGCTTAAAACCTTGTGTTTGTGACTGAAGAAAAAGTCTTTTAAAAAAGCATTAATATTACAAGAAATTGAGCTAGACAAGAGAATCAAATGCCAGCCCCACCTTTCGAGACAGGTTTTGGTTCTTTTTTGTCAGTAATGCTTATATCTGGCTTGAGAAGTTTAGAATGGAGGGTGACCTAAACTGCAGGTGCCTGTATTTAAGCAGATCACCTTGGAATCCCTTTAGAGCTGATGAAGAGGCCTTTAACACAGTAAAGAGGAACCCTGATTTAAAAACATCTTTCACTCATCACAGTTGAGGGCACAAGGTGACATCTTAAGTGTAGACATCTGCACTGCCCATAAGAGAAACTGTGAGATGTGCTGCACCCTTCTACACACTTGAATTTTTTTCTGTTTGCCTTGAAATACCCTTTAAAATATTGGAAAGCAAATATTTTTTCCTATTAATTTGCATTATACTATAGTTCAGGTTTACATGGCAAATCAATTTAATAAGGTTTAATTAAATTCTCAGCTATGTATAATTATGTGTATATTATGGAAGACAACTAAAAATTACTAGAGACTCTTTGAGTGTCTCTTGGTAACTACTGCAGGGGTAGCTGAATATGAACCCTGCTGGGAAAAAAAAAAAAAAAAAAAAAAAAAAAAAAAAAAAGGAGGCAGAGCTAGGAGGAAGCAGCAAAGTGGAGAAAATACACAGCAAAATCAGACTGATGAAAGAATGCAGTAATCATCATTGTGTTTTAACTGTCACAGCTGGGGATCAGTATTAGACCTGACACTACTCAATATTTTCATTAATGGACCAGAAATAAATATAAAATCACTGCAGCTAAATTTTGTAGAGCTGATGATGGAAAAACCGGCAGAGTGGTAAATAGTAACAGAAACAAGGCATCGTTCAGAGCAAGCTGGTGTTGAGGAAGTGATTTCATTCAAATAAGTGTAATGTCATGAGTCTGGGAAAAAGAAATGCAATAGTCAGGCACTGAGGGGAAACAGTAAAAGCCGTGAGTGTTACAGCGGACAGGCAGTGCAATGTGAGCATGCACTGCCGATCTGCGGTGAAAGACTACAAAAATGAATGATCACTGAAGGTGAGATACTTGAAGAGTTTAAGAAATTTAAGAGTTCAGTCTGGTTTTAAAGTTAATAGATTATCTCATTCAAATGTTGGAATACCTTTATGGGAGAAAACACAGTGTTCTAAGTCTTGAATGGGGCTTTAATCTGGCAAATAATTAATTTTTTTATTTTTTTAAGAATATGCCTGGAAGCATAAAGGAGACAAACATAAATTAGAAACTACAAGCAAAATTCTAGCAGTGAAAGAGACTAAACTCTTGAGCAAAATACCACAGGAAGTGTTGGATCTTCAGCCTCTTGATGGTCTCGTGTACTGACCTGAAGCCTTTTTGTTTAAGGGCTGAGGTTACTGGATGTCAGTTAACAGTCTATAATGCACCAGGCTCAGGTTTGGAGATCTCCTGAGCCCTTTTTCAGCTTCAAGCTCTATGAAAATGCAAATATTGTTGCCTTCACACTTTCACAGCTGCTCCTTTTCTTGTTTCAGTCTCTAGAGAAGTTGAGAAGGAATCCCACACATTTTGTCTAGTTTTACTAAAAGCAGTCCATGTTTAATTAACACTTATCCATTTCTGTTCCAACAGTTGCATTATCCAGTAATGAACAAAAGAAAAGGTCGTAGCCCCTTACGCATACTCCCGGGCTATATACCTTTCCATATTTTTAGCAAATGCCAGTTAAACTCTGCAAAGTATGAAGGGAAACCAGCAAAGCAGAAGTATATTTTCTGTGTATTTATACATCATTTTAAAAAATATATTTTGCAGGTTTTTTCTTATATTGCCTGGGAGTCTGTCATGGTTTAACCCTAGCCAGGGTTAAACCATGTTATTGTTAAATCATGTTATTGTTATCAACAATATTCTCATCCTAAATCCAAACCACAGCACTATACCAGTTACTAGAAAAGAAGAAAAATAACTTTACTTCAGCTGAAACCAGGACAGACACTTTTCAGCAGCATGTTATTATCCTCAACTGCATTATTTCTTACAGGTATTTATTTTGTCCCAGTAGGTATTATAAATCCAATAAAAACTAATTTAATAGGAAAGGGTTTTTTTAAATGCTCAGATTTCTGAGCTGTAGGTAGTACAGTTATGACAGGTAAGTTTGAATGCATTTATCTTTCTCAGGCTCCAGTTAAAGACACCATTTAAAAAGCAGATAACAGTGTTGAGCGAGGCTGCGGGAGATTCACACGGAGAGGGGCGTAAGGGCCTCTGTCCTGTCACGCCATTACCCCCAGAGCGGCAGGGCGGTGTAAGATGGCAGCCGTCTGTTTCAGCCCCACACCATTGCCTCGGCCAGGCCTTGGTGTCTCATCGCCAGGAGGACAAAATCTGCCCGGAGCTAGAAGAGCTGCACGCGTGCAGCGCCAGGAACAAGGGGGACGTGCGGACGCTGAAGGCGTCAATGGCCGACCCCCGCCTCAGTACGAGCGCTGTGGGCATCGGGGCATGGGCATGCAGAGCAACACGGGGTGGAATGGGAAAGGAGCTCCATGGCAACGAGAGAACTACAGGGGGGACTTTATAAAAGGGGCTGCATGTGCATCCCTCTTTCCGAAAAGTTTTGCCTGCTGACACCCTCAGCTGGCTTCGCCTGCCGAAGCTCTCTCATCTGCAATGCCACAGTATTTCTGGGACATTCGCACAAGTGCCATGCAAGAGACTCCACAGTGACTAAAATGACATGTGCTTATGTGTGGGCAACATAGCCTGTGCCTGAAGACTGGTATTGATACCTAAGTCCAGCTCAACAACAGCTCACTATTTTGTCCATATGCATCGTGCTCACTGCAAGATCAGGGATTGAAACTGGTGAGGGATGAAAATTATTAAATTGTCTTATTTTTGATTGTCGCTTCACTCGTGTGCACCCAAATCTCTCACAGAGGCTTTTCATATCTTGGAAATTAATTTCCCTCCCACACACTACAATTTATTCATTTTCAGCCTCATAAATATGAGTGTTTGAAAAAGGAAAATGCATTCTTGCATTCATTTTGTGTTCTACACTTGCGAAAGTTTTGTCTCAAAGATATCTAAGCTATACAAAACAATCTAAAATGTGAAGTGCTGGCTACAATGTGTATTTTTTTTCTTCTACTCACAGTACAGGAGAATAGTGGAATTTAGTATTTCAAATAACTAGCCAACTAGGGCCAATTTTTAAAAGAAATAGACATAAAGCAGTCACAAAATTTAGGAACTGAAAACTCAGGTTAAAAGGAACTGTCAGAAGTAGGAGTGCTGCTGAAAGTCAACTTGTAAAAGTCCATGTCCCTAACAGCCAGATCCAAGAGGGAATTTGACCATAGGTGTGCTTTTCCTCATCCTTTAGGGAGATAAGGATTCAAATTCCCCAGGAGACTGAAATCATCTTTTCAGTTGGACAGCTACAGTCTCTCTGCTGGTGTTAGAGGACTTTCACAGCATTCTAGGTTTCTTATTTACAAACCAGGTTTTTTTGGTGGATCACTCTCAGTATACTATTTCTGTCTAAATTGTATTTATACAGGCAACTCTGTAATGGGTTGGGTGTTTCTGGATGCCTCACTGAGGACATCTTCAAAGGGCCTTGTATTAAAGTGGGGAATACAAGTACTTTTGCAAAATTAGATCTACAAATCATATCCAATAATTGGTGAGAACATGAAAGCCTATGCTGCCACTTTTGCTTCCAACTAGTAATTTCAAACAGAACTTTCATATCAATTTCTTCCATACCTATTATTCAACACTCCATACGTAAAATTAAGGCCAAGTCCGTACCAAGTATGTAAGGGCTTGTCCAATTTTAAAAAGTCTGGCTTTTGCCTTTCAGTTTTCAAAATGGGAACTGGAATTTCAGTGGGAACTCCTGCCTTCCTTTGTACATTTAGAATTTAAATCATTTACTAAAGCACCTCTAAAAAGATTCAGATGGCTAACTTTAATTATGCCCTTGTGAAAAACCTTGGAGCAAAGGTGGGATTTTTCAGGAGTGCATATATGACTTTGAAATGAAATTTATTATTAATGAAAAGGCAGCCCTTGAACTTGTCTGACAGTCTCAAGTCACTTGCCATTCCTTGGATATCTTTAAAGGTAAATTCTGCATTAAGACAGCTATTTCTTCTAGTGATGTAGTAGTGGTGACAGGCATTCAATATTCACAGTGGTGACAGTGAGTTAGCAGGGTAATATTATTGTAATTTTTATTGATACAGAAGATTTAAGTTACAGAACATTAGGCAAACCCATCCTCTTACTTGCCCAATATTTGAGGATGAACAATTACAAGAAAATGATCCAGTTACATATAGTGAAGCTAACGATTAAATTACACTAAAACTGTTAACAATATTATATTGTAAAATATAAGTGTACAGTATATAAATACAATAAGCTTTCTGTTCCTTGGCAGGAACGTAAGTCAATCACATAGATTTTTCAGTTTTAATTTAGCTTGTGCTAAAGTACATTTCCATCTTAAATATATATTAATGTAAACCATACCTATTATATCTCTCAGTTTCACTACCTGCATCCTCACTTGCAATTTATATTACAGTACTTTAAAAGCTGAATGAACACTTATTAGAGGTTTCTGTCAGAATTTCCCATTTTTTATATCTTTGGCAATATTTTGCAGGAACACTCTTATTACTCAGACATGTTTTTACTACATGACATTTTGATCTTATGCAAAGCAAGATACTCTGATTCCTGACTCCTTCTATTTGAAAGAGCAGGCTGCTCAAATGTACTGTATGAGTGTTAAAATAACAAAAATCCTACACTGTAGGAGAAAATTGACATTGTGCAAAATATATTAATAAACATTTTAAAGATTCAAAAGATACACTATTGTCAGACATGGCAACACTGTCCCATTGCATAAACACACTACTTCATATCTGATCAGTCAGTGGCAATACATCAGTCCAAAAATCTGCTCCTCAACAGGCTGCTCCCCGGTCAGACACAGCAGTAAGATGTCTAAGGGTTTTTATTTGGGCCAGATGATGCAAAGTTTGATAGCTAAGCTTACATTCCTCAAACCTATCAAGTTTCTAAACAAGTCGCCCAACTTTCAGAAAGAGATGCTATATTCACCTGAACAGCAAGGCTGCCTATTTAGGTTCTAGGTACCCAGCGTGCAAATCTTCACTGATAGTATCATGTCAGTATTCACTTGTACCAGCCAAAAATCACCACCAAACTCTGAAGTGCTCAAGTCTTTCTGCAACCTGGCAGAAGCATCTTCTCAGAACTGCTCACTTGGATACAATCAATGTAGAACAGATGATATGAATGGACTTGATAGTCCTTTATTCTCCAAACACACATGGGTGGTGTAAGAGTTGGTCAGAAGATCAGCATTGTCTCAACACTGTCATCAGGGACACAGACCATAAGGTACCCGACAACAACCTCTTTAGAACACAGCTGCCAATCCCAAGAGTGGAATGCAGTGCAAGGGCTCTTGAATACAGAACTGTGTGCTACAACAAGCAACAAGTGCTGTGCTATTCTTCGGAATACTGGACCATGTGGTACAAAGAGTGCAGTGCTATTCTTCATACCCGAGCCATGCGGTACAGAGTGTTGTGCTATTGCTCGGTACCTGAGCCTAACTGGAGCTGACAGAGATGACCACATAACTACTGCCAAAAAAGATGCATTGCAACCGTTGCCATAATGTCATGAACTTTAGATGAACTCTGCTTCATTATAATACCAAAACACACCTCCTGGTTGAAGACTACCCACCTCTAAGACCAACCATGCCCTAGTGCATGCGCGGTAGCCTCGCTCGAGAAGGGCAGAGATCCCTGAGGCAGAGGAAGAGCAAAGTGTGTCACTAAGCATAAAAGATGACTTCTGGACACTGAAAATTTGAAGCTTCCCTACCAGCGATCACGATGATCGATAACGGAGCATTAGCTGGGCCCAGGACCATTAGGATGTCTTGAGACCAGCAGTGGTAGCTATAACCTCTCCTTCTCTTCTCTCTAAACTTACCTTTCCCCCTTTCTTTCACCCATCTCTTACTATCACGTGCCACTTCACGGGCAACACAATAAAGTTGCACTGTTTGATTGATGCTCCCCTTTGGTGTTGGTTGCCTTAATTTTGCACCTTCGAGATCATAGTAAATGAACCGTCATGAGTCCACTGAGTGGACTGTGACAGGTAGAAAGGTGCAAAACTAACAGGAAAAATAACTTTCATTAAATCTTATCAGTCCTACTAAATATGTTCCATGTAGAAGTATTTAATGTCAAGTAAAATATGCTGCACAGAAATATATTCTATCAGTGTGCAGTGTATGGTTTAGGTAAACAACAGATTCATTATGAACAGATGGAAACACTTAGATCCAATGTCTTTTAGAACAGCTTACAGACTAAAAAAGCTTTAAGATGAAAAGCTGAAGTTTGCCTCTCTGCTAACTAACTGTGTTTGCTCCCCTGTTGCACTTTCACACGAAAGATTAACTCTATAGTATTATACCTGCAGAAACTCATCCATTTAAAGGGCATACCAAGTATTTAACTTTGTTCATGCTAAAATTAAAATAACAGCATTACTCAGAACTATTGCTTGACCAAAGAACATTCAATTTGAACTACATGCTGTAATGAATCCCTGTTAGAAATGCCCTCATCAACATGGAGAAGAAAGTGCTCAAATACAGCCACCACATGGTAGATGACTAGGGAAATGTTCTGGAGAGAAAATATAAATATAGATATATCTAGCAGTATGCTACTCTAGCACTGTAATGCCAAATGGTAGATTACCAAATGGTAGATTTCTGAGGAATACGCTGAAGGCAAGAAAAATATTACATCTATTTCTATCTTAATTTATATGAATACGGTAGAGAGGTTTTGGCATATCGTATTTCTGGGGGGAATGTTATAATTAAAAATATTTCTTAGAAAAAGGAGTTTCTTCATAACAAAAATTAATATGATAAATACAGTTCTGTTTTTGTACAAAATATAGAGTGCTTTTAGAAAACAAGACCAAAAATAGAGCTTTAGCATTTGGAGTGCAAGTCATCGATGTAGTGTGAGCCAGAAAGTCAAATAAGAACCCTGAAAATCAGGATTCCGGCTAGGGGCTCAGCCCACAGGCTTGCTGAACAAAACTAATTTCTACCCAATTACCAACTTGTTCTTTTTTTCTTCCAAAACAGACAACAGAAGCAACAATGAGTAAAGGGTATGTTAGATCCTATTTAAGGCAGAACATAAGAATGCAAAAATAATTATTATATGTTCCAACATCCAGCAATACAGATAGGCAGTCTACAGACTTCTAGAAATAAGTAAAAAAAATACAGTATTCCGTACATTTGTACGGACATTGTACAATAATAAACTGCTTATCATTTGTGGTGTGGAATGTTTTTGCATCATGGAAGTAATATTGATCTGATAAATAACATCTTGTAACTTTTCATTCAAAATCCAAAACGGATATATAATTACTTTCTTAAAAAAAATGTATTTTCACATGTATACCCTACGTCTTACATAAACTGTACCTCTCTACAAAGTACCAGCAGTTGAAAGCAAGTCCTGAGTCACTTCTTCAGACAACCTGCAGGCATGTGGTGTCCTTGAGGAAGAAAGTGTTTCAAAACAGACATCCTTGGTGCCCCCCTCAGCTCACAGTCTTGTGGAATCACAAATTCTTTCACAAATCACTCACAGCTTATACACTTACACTGTGAAAGTATGGCACAAGCTCCATTCTAGAAAGCAGTGTCTCACCCTTTACTTCCTCATACAGAAATTAACATCATGAATCTTTAAGCTGCTCTGGACAGTCAGACCTCCACGGCTCTGCTGAGCATCACAGTTGCCCTCTCCCTGGAGAAGGAGTCTGACCAGGCTGAACAGCTCATGGTACAGGAACATATAGTAACAGATCATGTAAAATGACAAGAATGCTCCTACCTAGATACCTTCTGGTATAATAAAAGATGCAGCCTTTACTTCTAAACCTTACCTTACAGCCTTGTACATTCTTCAGCTTAAATGTTAAGATGGTGAATATGACAAAAATGCCTTTATGCTTACTGTCATTTAACCCACCACCAGCAGTGGTCTGCTATACTAAACGGAAAGGGCTTGGTCCTTCCAGCTGCTTGAACTCCCCTTGAAGCCAATGTGAAATGACTGAACAAGAGTCAGAGTCATTCTGCACAGTGCATTCTGATTCCAGACATACCGACTCCCAGGATCCAGAGCCAGGCAACTACAACTATCCAAAAGCTTCTCTATGGCTTCTCTAAAGTCCCTAGAATGGAAATGAAAAGTTCAGCTGCTCTTTTTTAAAACTAAAGTGTCTCTGCTTCACTGAGGTGCAATTCACCACCTCAGAGACAGCCAAAAAGAAGGTCTATGCATCACTGGGCTCCCACTGCAACCCTCACAACAGAGCTGCAGTGAAAAGAGCAGTGCCTAGACTTGCTGACTGGGTATGAGGTATGGACTGACTTCCACCTTTTCTGAGAAGGAAGGCATCTTGACTTCCTTATAAAAATTATTCTTTTTGTCTCACAAATAACTTAAAATCATATTTCCTTCCTGTTTTTATGTATGTAGTTTAAATCCTGACATCAGTTCAGTTTTTCAGCAGATGAGCAGAGGTTGAGAGCAGAGGAGTTAATTCAGGTAGAAGATGGCAAGTAATGAAGGCAAGAACTGAAAGGGCCACATGCTATCTGTCAAGAATTCATTTAAAATCCATCAGAATTTGTCCCACACGTAGGTCTGCCATCCATCTAGGATTATTTCTTGTTAAGGAATAAAACAGTTCACAGTGCCTGGTTGTTACTTTAAACCAACCCCTAAGTTTGTAGCATTTAAATCTGCAGAGATGCTCTCCGTTACGTTAGCTAGAACTGTGGATGCAGGATAAATGATTTCTTCAACTGTCACATATGTTCCTGTTAAAAATCCAACAACTCCAATGACAGCTATGAAAACATCTTTAAATACTGTCCATAAACTTATGTTTTCCTTGTAGAAAGTGAGGATTTCAACCAGAGGTGGCAGAATCAGTGCCAGAGTGCTGCTGCTGACAGCTCCTACAAAAGAAATCACCAGGTCCAGGCGAGGGATCAAAATTGCCACAGCACCTAAAACAAAAGAAGAGCAACAGTGCCTTCAGATTCAACATCCTCATGAAAAAAAACAACCATGACAAACACATAATCTAGTGATTTAGGCTTTTTACACAGTTCTGTCATACAATATTTTTCCAGCTATAGGTGGTGTGCGCTACACAGATTGATACATGTACCCGTAAGATACATCTTCATGCTCATGGGGGATACTCAGTTTCAATTCTGAATTTCTGCAGGAGATGGTAGAGCTTCAAGTTAAAGTGTTCTTGTACTTACAGAGTAAATAAATGTGACCTGCAAATAATGGAGAAATATGAAGTTGTATGGAGATGTTTTACTTGTTGGTTATTGGGTTTTTAAAATGAAAGAACAAAGCTCAGGAAGAGCAGGGAAAGTGGCTGTTGCATGCTGCCCAGGAGACAGTGGGCAAAAATGTATTACTGTTAATTACTATATATCACTAATAATCTAAAAGTGACAGAAAATAATTCAGAACGAACCAAACTTGCTGGCCAATTGGCAGTCTCACAATCATTTAAGTCACTTTTACCTACAAACTTGCCTCTTGAAAAATGTCTATACCATTGCATTCAATTCATAAAATGTTACTATAATAATTGCCCAGTCAACTAAACAAGAACTTGGCTCTGCCAAGAGACAAGTCTGAACACAAGCCCCACTAAGCCTCTTAGCACAGTGTAAAAGGAACAAGCTATAGAAAACTCTTTCCTCTTAGGATATTATTAATAGAATGAATAATTAATAAATAGATATTGTTTTATAGGTTTAATTAATAGAGCACAAGTGCTCCAGGAACAATACTGACAGTTTAAGATCGTTCAGAAGATAAGTAACCATGATGACCGAAGACTGCATCAGTGAGCAGTGGTGTCAGGAGAAGAATTGGAATGGAATGATGAGAACTAGGTGAAATTGTGCAGTATAATGAACTTTTGAAACTGATGATGAACTGAGAGCTGAAAGTTCCTGTAAAATCACCGAAAACTCTGTATTGTATGTTATGTAGAATCGGATATAGAGATGGCACTTTTTTGTTAGCTGTGGCCACTCCCTGAGGTGATGGCCCAACTCTGAGTTGTTAATAAAGCAAGCCTAGAGGTACCCGCTGTCTGGTGAAATCCTTTAACACACAGTATGGCCCATCTCACCTTCTGAAACTAAACCATTCATAGAAACAGAATCCATCATGTTGGACCAGAACCACTTCTGGTTATAACACCTTCAGCTGACAAGCCTAGGCAAGGTACTCTAGTATTAACTCAGATACACCAGTTGTTATGTAATGTTTTCAGTCCTGTATTAGAAAACAGCTTTCAAAAGGTAGCTGAGCACAGACCTCTATACGATCCCCTGTATGTGGTGGAAATACTTGTCTTTTTTCCCCTTCTATGAATACACCATCTTCTAGCTGTCAGACATTAGCATAAACATCCAGAGCATCTGCCTGCTTGCCATTTCCTATTGCCTCTCATCAAGACATGGAAGCAAGCAGGAAGGGAATGGTGAAAACTGGTGTAAAAGCCACCAGCAAATCAAAAATACCACATAGTGTGTTTCAGTTCTTCCATACCTCCCTTCTTAACTCTTAAACCATAGTAAAAGCATGTTTGGCTTTACAGTGACTCCCCAACCAATCAAATATTATGCAGACAATGTTTATGTCAATAAACAAATAGAACAAGGAGGAAGGAAATCCTCACATAACACATGAGGATTAAAACCAGAAGGTGCGTATCAGCTTTATAATTTCTCAAGATGAGCTTTCTATTTGCAGAGCATCTTTGCTGTGGACTAAACGTTACCAGATGCCCTGAATTTTGACAACTTCTAATTCTGAAAGGCAACATACTCAAATGATGTTAGGGTTGACGCTCTCCATTGAGAATATCTAACTTGGGGAAAACTGCATTGGCAAACACACTCAAAATTCACTTGCAGAACACAGTAGCTATCTGCTGCTACCAGGTTTGCTACACATTTTAATAAAACCCATAACTACAGAGATCTCACATAAAAAGGAGGTAAGACTGAAGGTATAAGCCCACAGACGAATAAAGGACTCTCCAGCCCATCCTATCTGAAAGAAGCATATCATGAAACAGATCTGCCGTGAAAAATCAATTAACTTGTTCTTGCTTGTCATGACTATCATTTATTAACACTTTGTGTTTCTAGAGATATGTGAGGCACCACAAGACCACAGAAGGCTTGGGCAGACACAGGCGTCCTTCAAGAAACCTTAGGAACACCTTGACACTCAAAATTAGGTAAGACAAGTTTTTTATCCCAGCGTTACGATGGACCTACTCAATGCCAAACAAACCGTTTCTTCCATTGCATGAATATTACATTTAAAGACCGGATATGTCACATGTTTATGCATTATCTAGGACAAAGCTGAATGAAATGAGACAGGAGTCATGCCAAAGTTAATAAAAGTCACAAAGTACCCACCTCTGTAACCTTCACAGCCATAACTCCATTCAAACCATAAAAGTAGGCACCATGAATGCCCAAACAATGCAGGATGGGCGTTCAGACCAGACTGACTGGCAAACATGCTTGGTACTTGCACAGCAATGCACAGTCCATAAGTAATTGAAAAGTGCAGCTGAGGTATATTTGCAGTGACAGGTAAAACTCTCAGCTAATTAATAGGTGGAATGTGTCGTATGAAGTAAAAGAGAGGGCTGCACATTTATTATCTTGCCAATTTAATAGGTGGTGTGGGTGTATTTTTTAAATATAGATTTTCAACTACTATGACAGACCTCTTTCAATTCTACATCTGTCCAGAATTTAGAAGGCACTCATTAATTTATAGGTCATAGTTTTGAAATATTCTGCTTTATTACAAACAATGGGAATATTTTTCCTTTTTTTTTTTTCATTAGAAAATACAAAATTACAGTTTATAATTGCTTCAGGTTACAGAAAAGCAAAATGCTGTGTGTTGGTTTGGATCACATCAAATGTTTGTCTGGCTCATACAAATTTGCATGAATATGGATATTGCTGTGGGAGGAAGTTTGGAAACATATTTCAAGGTTTTAATCAGTGTCTTATTTATTCTCTAAAAATCCAAGGGAAATACAACTCATGCTTATTGCCTATAAAAGAATGTCCTCAAAAGTTAAGAAAGGTGTCCAGTTTCCAAAATTAAACAAAGGACATTCCTACAGGTAGGGAGACTGATTTTCCCAGCCACGCATATGTTTTAAAAATACATCAAGAAGAAATTCTTTACCTTTATCAACAGTCATGAAACTTTCCGGTTTGAAAGCTCTGGGAATCTCAACTGAAGAAATAAGTCCTACAGTATTAATATGACACTTATTCTTTGGGCAACAGTTAAATTGTCTTCAGGCTCAAATAAGAGAGCAAGGGCTACATGAGCAAAGCAACCTACAGAGATAAGATACAGCATCATGTTGCATATACCTTAAACTCTGCAGTCTAATCTCAAAAACTAATAATAATGGTTTCCAGCCTCTCTCAGCTATGTAGTCACCCATTTGTGTCAGTTGGGGCTTTTTGGAGGGAGGAATAATATAGTTGGATGCTTCTGTTTTCTTAAGGGACACGCTACCCCAGTGGAAAGATAGCCTTAATTTTATTCTGTTTATTTTACAGTGCTTCTTCTTTTACAACTTTCTCTCCTTGTTACAGAATCAGAACATTACTAGCTAGACTTGCTTGCTGAGATAATTTCAGTGACTGCTGGGGGAAAAAAAAAAGTTTTGCCATCTTTACTACTATCCAACCTAAGTGCATTATAACTGCAGATGAAGTCAAATATGCAATTACCATACTCCAATACTTCCCCTAGTAATAAAATATCAAGCTACTTTATTTCTATCAAAAAGTAATGCATATGCCATGCTAAATCTTGGAGCAAGATGGGTACTGCCATAATTAGGCTCTATGGATCTGAGTAAAGATTGAGTTATAATTTTGGTCCTGTCCATACAGAGATCAAAAGCAAAACATATTATGACTTCATCAGGAGACTTTAATGATACAGCTCACTTAAAAGCCTTTTTTCCATGTTTCTAGTAGGATTTAATTTATTTGTAAGCATTTATAGGAAGCCAGAAAGCCATTTTGACATTTAAAAGGGTAATACTACTGATAATAAAGCTGTTTAATATTTATTTACTCAAATCATTAAAAGAAATTACTTTCAGATAGTACCAGATTTTAGATTTTATCTAAGTATTCAAACATAATTCTGACAAAAAAAACAGGTTAGCAATATTTAAACATGTGCATCTGAAGAAAAGAAGTAATATATATCTTACCAGATTAGTAGCATGGCCCAAACAAATTGTCCTAATAGCAGATTTTATAAATATGAATGGTCAAAAAGACTGAGGGCTTCTTAAGTATGAGAAATGTTGGATATTACTACAGCGTGGTAACTTCATGCAGTTGAAGAGCAAAATAATTGTCTCAAGCGATATATAACCAGTTTTCTTCAAAGGCAGTGATGGTGCTGGAAGTCAGCACACTCCAAACTTACTCTCTATATGTACCACTTTTCCATGATCAAACCAGAAGATTGGAGCATTGATGTATTAAAGATGGGTGTCTGACATACATATGGCTTTCCAAAAGCACAAAACAAAACTGTATTTTTAACAGATGCTTATGATACAGCAAAGAAAGAGACCCTTCCAGGAAGAAAAAATACCTAGAATGAAATGTTTGCCAAAGAATTCTCCCTGTAGGCAAAATGGCACTTCAAAATACCAGCCTGAATCTTCCTTCCTATTCTAATATCCCAGGCTGTGTTCTCTATCCATCTTTCCTTACCGGAGTAGTGCTCAGTCAGTCAAACTGGCATCCTCTTCTTCCCTTCACCCTACTGCACTCTTTCCTGGATCCTCTTCCCTAACGCAGCACCTGCATATTTTCTTCAAACTCACTCCTTTTCTGCAACAGTCCCTTCCACATTGCCCAAGTTTTTTTTCCTTTACCTCCTAATAGAA